CGGCAGCGTGGGGTGGCAGCAGTCCCTGTATTGGAGGAGGGTCTGGGCTCCTAGCCCTGATCCAGGCTGCCTGCCCGCCCAGCTCCTAACACATTTTAAATGCAGAGCCACAGCAAGGTAGGTCCCAGACCCGTCACAAGCCAGGACTGAGCCAGTCTGCTAGCCAACCCACGACCAAAAAAGGTTCCCCAGCCCTGCTCTAAGGTGCCACAGAACTACTCATAGTTTTAAAATGCTGCAAGTTTGTTGAGCACTGAGTTTGTCATTCAGGGAGAATGCTCGCTGGGGGGGAACAAGAGCCTTCAAATGCCTCCTGAACAGACTCTGCTTACATTAGCAATGTCCACAGGCATGCAGTCCCCATGATCCGTAATAAAGTACTCGAAAGAAGCTGTATCAATGCACGTATTAATAAGTTACAATGGTAATGGAATACCATCTGTTCCAAGGGAGGATGTCAAACAGCATCTATGACCTTTCACGAACTTTAAATCAGCAAGAGCAGACAACTTGCGCTCAAGACTTTTAAAAGAAATGGCCACAGAGCTCTCGGCCATTAGTGCTGACTTTTAACACATCTTGGACACTGGGGGAGTTACAGAGGACTGCAAGAAAGTTCATATTTAATAGGGGTAAGTGGGATGAGCGGGGTAGCTATGGGCTGGTTAGCCTGATACTGTGGGCAACATCATGTCATTGCTGATACAGGACATAAATCTGTGAAGAACTGTTGCATAATTAAAGCCAATCATATTCCTTTTATGGAAGCAAGAGCTTGTCACTCAAACTTGATATTTTTTTTATATAGTTTTGGTAATTGACTATGGCAATTGTGTCAACAGACTTCTGTAAAGGACTTCACTTTCCATGTGCCCCACAATATATAAGCACGATACCAAATCAATGATGCACATTAAATAGCCTAATTAAAACCTGGCTACTGGATAGACTGTTAATGAGGAATGACAAAGTAAGAGGTGCTGCTAGTGGGATCTGACTGTGATTGGTTCTTGGCCCAATATTACTCAATATCTTTATCAATGATATAGAAGAATTGGCTTTATATACCCTTGGTGGTACAATTTGCAAGAGGGCATAAAAACGGGTGGAGTGGTAATATTGATAAGGACAACTCACAGAGTGAATAAACTGGATCACTTAGTAAACTCACTGCAATTAATCAATACACACTTTAATATAGACAAATACAAGCTTGTACACCCATGAACAAAAAATATAGGCTGTGCTTGGGTGGGGGAGACTATATCCTGTAAAACAATGAAGGGTTCATGAAGATGAGATCATGAGACATGAACATGAGGACCAGCGTGATGCTGTGGCCAGAAGGGCTAATTCAATCTTTGGACATATAAAGAGGGGAATGTAAAGAAAGAATAAGGCAGCGTTACACCATCCCCCTTTCTGTTCTGTAATGTGATTTGTCCTTTTCATATGTGTTCATTTTTTTAATTGTATCCTTTGGTATATATGGTTGTGACTATTTTCTTCCACAATTTGATCTGAGGAAGTGGGTCTGGCCCACGAAAGCTCATCACCTCATAAACCATCTTGTTAGTCTTTAAAGTGCTACATAGTCCTGTCTTTTGTTTCATGATTTTTCTTCACTTTCCACACAAACCAAAACCCAAAAGAACATCTGGAAGTCAAAGGTCTTAGAATGGGAAAGGGGGACCCAAACGGCACAGCAAATGTAGGCTGTGTCTCTAGATTCAGCAAGCTTGTATCAGTCAGGGTGGGAAATTGCTCATTCAACTCCTGTCCACCCAGCATGTTCTGTTCAGATTTGTTTATTTGCTGGGTAATCTGCTTTGATCTGCTTGGAATCACTTGGAATCACTTAACATCTGCTGTAAATAAACTTCTTTTCTGTTTTATCTTGACCAGTGTTGTTTGAGTTAACAATTAAATGGCTTTGTTCCTTAGACTTGCAAGAGGCTCCTAACTCATTCTGAAATTAACTCAGCATTGCTCAGGGGAAGAGGCCAGGGGTGGAATGGGGACTGGCCCTGGGGAAGAGGGGAGGGGGTTTCCAGGACCCAACAGCCGCACCATGGATGGCCTTGTTGAGAGCTGTGAACCTCCTTACCACAGTGCTCATCGGTGTTGTGACTTTCCCCACAACAGTGAAGAGCTAATGCCAGGTCTTCCCGGGCTTGCTGGGGTGTGCTCACCTGTCACTGCTATGGAAATGTAGTTGCTGCTCCGAGAGGTGGAGATAGACCAATAGAATTCCTGTCTCCAGTACACACATGTGTAGGACCCAGCCATTTCTTTCTGAGCTCTGAACACCAGCTGGGCTTCTCGAGTGGAGCTGTCGAGCTGCTGCCCCTCTTGGTAGAATTTGTATCCTGAAGGCCGGATACGTCGAGGAGCTGAGCACGTGAGGGTGACCAACTCCCCTGGGAGATACACCGTGTGGCTGGGGTCCACAGACAGCGTGGGAGATGGTAGGTGAGCTAGAAAAGAGGCAGAGGTGTGAGTGGACAGGGGCAGGCTCGGGTGGAATGAGGAGAAAGGGGACGAGCCGGGACAAACATGAACACAAACCAGCCTCATCTCGCCACCCAGCACCTGCTCCATGCTGGAAAATAAACCATGGAAAACCAACCACTGCCCCTCCTTTTCCCTCCCTCCTTTGTAGTCTGACCGTTGGTTTCTCCCAGGCCCTAGCACTGCCCTTAACTGAGCCATCTGTGGCCTAGAGCAGATCTCTGAGAAAGTCACCAACTCCAGAGAATCCTCCGTGACCCCAGGGAATTGTCACAGCGGTTAATGCCCCTCGCTGTTAAAAACTGCCCCTAATTCAGAGCCTGAACTGGCCTTGCCCCAGCTTCTAAACCCTTCATCTTTCTCTGTTCAGTTCAAGGGCTGCCCATTCAATTTCTGTTCCCACATAGGAGCTGCCGGGCTGCGATCGAGTCCCCTGCATCACTCTGTTCTCTAATACAGGGGTTCCCATCTGCCGATCAGTGGACCGGTGCCGGGCCATGAAGCAATGGCTGCTGGGCTAGGCACACTGCCAGGCCATGATGGAGCAGCACGGAGAGCTCTGGCCCCGTCCTTTCCCTTCTGCAGGCTTTTCATTTGTCCTCCCCTCCGCTTCCTTTTCCCTCCCAGAAGGATGGTGTTTGTCTGCCCCTCCCCTCGCTTCTTCCTCCGGCCTCACCCCTCTGGCCAGCTGAGCACTCCAGTTTCAGCTGTTCCTGCCAGCCAGGAAAGGCAGGAACCGTGCATGGACCCCACCTCCCTCCCTCCCCGGTGCT